TCTTCTTCTTCTTCTTCATTTTTAAACGTTCTTTTATTTTTGCCTGATATGCTAGCACAGACTAAAATGACTACCCCTTCTAAAACTACTCCTGAGGAAGAACAGTGCAAGCCTGTGCCTAAACCATGTGATACTCCTTTCCCATCATTTAAAGAGACTAAATGCTCGTTGCTATAAAACAAACTACAAATTACAGTTCCAATACAGAATTAAGTTATTCTTCATTGACTGAAGATTGCAGGTGTGTGTGCCATGAAACTCAGTGTGCAGGAGATAATATCTATGGAGAGTTTCTTAACATTTCATAGAACCATAGAATAATTGAGTTGGAAGGGGACCATGAAGTCATCCAATCCAATCCACTGCTCAATGCAGGAATCCAAATCAAAGCAGATCTGACAGATGGTTGTCCAATTTTCTCTTGAACACCTCCAGCGCTGGAGTGCTCACCATATCCTGAAGTAATTGGTACCATTGTTGTATTGCTTTAACAGTTAAGATTTTCCCCCCTAATATTTAGCTAAAATCTGGCTTCCTGTAAGTTGGCCCATTATTGTGTGTTCTACACTCTGAGATGACTGAGAACAGGTAGGTTGGTCCATTACTGTGCGTTCTGCACTCTGAGATGACTGAGAACAGATCCTGTCCCTCCTCTATTTGACTACCTTTCAAGTAATTGAAAAGTGTTATCACATCCCCCTCAGTCTTCTTTTCTCAGGGCTAAACATGCCCAGTTTTTTCAGTATTTATTTAGAGGGCTTGGTTTCCAGTCCCTGATCATCCTTGTTGCCCTCCTCTGAACTTGCTCCAGTTTGCTGGAATCCTTCTTCAAGTGTGGCATCAAATATTGTGGTGGACACAATACTCTAGATGAGGCCTAACCAGTGCTGAATACAGGGGAACTCGTACCTCATGGGATTTGGAGACTATACTTCTGTTAATGAATTCTACATCAAGTATTGTGATGGACACAATACTCTAGATTGAGGCCTAACCAGTGCTGAATACAGGGGAACTCGTACCTCATGGGATTTGGAGACTATACTTCTGTTAATGAATTCTAAAATTGCATTTGCCTCTTTTGCAGCCACATCACACTACGGGCTCATATTCAGCTTTTGATCTACAACAATTCCAAGATCCTTCTCACTTGAAGTACTATTGAGTCAAGTGTCCCTCATCTTGTAACTGTGCATTTGGTTTTTCCCCCTTAGATGTAGAACTTTGTACTTATCCCTTTTAAATTTCATTCTGTTGTTTTCAGCCCAGTGTTCAAGCCTACCAAGATATTTTTGAATTTTGTTCTTATATTCCAGGGTATTAGCTATTCCACCCAATTTTGTATCATCCACAAATCTGATAAGTATTCCCTGTACTCCCCCATCCAAGTCATTAAGGCTCAGTCCTGGGCACCAGGCCCAGGACTGAGCCTTATGGTACACTACTTGTTACCTTCTCCTGGTTTAAGAAAGAGCTACTGATAAGCACTCTCTAAGTACGAAACTGTAACTAACTGTGTATCCACCTAAAACTAGTTCTATCCAGCCCTCACCTTCTTAACTTGCTAATCACAATATCATGGCAATTTGGTTAAAATAGTTAACCTTTTGCATGACTGTGAAACAGGATTTTGGCCATTAAATTACTAACATAGTCTATCTATACCATAGCCACTGGAAAAACTGTGATAACAATAAGTTATAATTAGTTACTTCCATACTCCAACCACCACACATGCAAATGTACCCTCTAGGTTTCTTTTAATCATATAATCTCAAATCCTTTGTTTGTGTAAACTATTGTGTATTCAGTTACTTCAAGAAAATTACATCTATTCGTGCACCTAGAAGAACTGACTTAAAATCTTAAACCAAAGTGAGCAACTGAAACATATCTATAGACTTGTACCTCTAAGATGACTAAATATAGATCTATATCTACAAAGCAGCATTTTATTTTTCAGTAATGATGTAATGAGGGAGAATCTGTACAGGAAATGAATGTGCTACTGCATCATTGTTGGTGTGATGGGAAATTATTTATCACGTTCTCTGTAACAGTTCCACAGGTAATTTCAGAAGCTTAACCTTAAATTACATTGCAGCACATGTACTACTACTGCAATTTAGTCATGGTTGTGCAACATGGCTGGTTCAAAGCTTGCAGAACCATTTTTTAATAACTCGGAATGGACAAAATGTTATAATCAATATTTGGATGTGCTCCACAGCACAACAGGCTGGAGTGCCATTTAAAATGGGTAAATAAGTATTACTCAATTCTTAACTCCAAAGCTTAGGCAATCAACCACAGGATAGAAGCTTCACTGGCAGATTTATTTCTCACTTTTGTTGCCAGCAGTTTAGACATAGATGGCTGTGTGTTGCATTATTCTGAGGGGATAGCACATTTACACTGTTATACAAACTGTATACTCACTGCTTTACATTGTAGCCAAGTGTCATTTCTTCAGTGTTGTCACATGAAAAGATATACTAAAATATTTATGAAATGTGAGTGGTGTACTCATTTCTGTGATACACTGTATATGTGCCATAAACAACTACAATTTTTCCAGCATATTTGCCTAGATACATAAGAACTGTTTAAATAAATAGGAACAAGTTTAGAAAATTGCCTTTGGTTGACTGTCCCCAAACACATCTGGTTACCAAGCTTTCTTAAGATATAAATTTCAAAAGCACTGTATATGTTTTAATCTAGTTCTGTTTTAACAGATCACACTTTGAAGACTGGGAGTACACATACACAGACATTGAAAACCACCACCACCATGCCATCCTACTCTACTTCTGCACACCAATGTATGCATTCTAAGAATTAGATAATATTTCTACAGGCAGAATGAGCTTGTACTGAATTTAGGACCAGGTTGAAAACTAGAATAGCTTGTCTTAAATCTGCAGACACTGTCTTAACAGGAATGCAATTTCTTCTCAGCTAGTAGCATATGTTTCTTTGGGATAAAAATATTTTTTCAAAATTTCAATGGTACTCCAAGTCTACTGACTAGCGAACATCATGATAGTTGATGGATATGGTATGTATATCTTTGATTAAAACATGCATTACATCAACTTCAGGCTATTTACAATCAGATGCAATTGATTTTAATGTATTTTGTGAGTTTGTATCACTAGATTTTTATTGAATTTATTGGCTGAAATCCTAATGGGAACGATAGAGTTGCTGATTAAAAGCAAATTACTGCTAATTAAAGGAGATTTTAGAGTACACAGGATTCATCCAGAATGCAACTAAGTCATGTACACCCAGAAATCCAGAAAATAAACCTTTAATCAGCAGTGATTTGCTGCTGCAAATCATTTCATCACCAGTGCACATGCTGGACTGTGCAATAGGATTTCAACCTGCTTCTCAGTTTTAAAATTTCATTCTGTGCCATTCTAATTCTTCTGGAATGCCATGCCTTGACTGTTAGTCTTGTTGCTGGGACTGGATCTAACATCATATTGTATCATGGATGCCAGTTCCACATACTAAAAGCCTTGTTGGATATGCTCCATTGGTACAGGACTTCAACCCGCTTCTGAATTATAAAATTTCATTCTGTGCCATTCTAATACTTCTGGAATGCCATGTCTTGACTGTCTTGTTGCTGTGACTGGATTTAACACCATATTGTATCATGGATGCCAGCTCCACATACGAAAAGCCTTGTTGGATATGCTCCATTGGTACAAAAGGTGTATGTACAAGGGTTGTAGTAAACCATATCCAATACATGGGGATATATGCAGGCAAATTTACACCAACTGAATAAGGGTACATGTCCCCCAAACATGTTTGATACATTTAATTTTCACAACATCAATTGTCTATTGGAAAGACCGTTGTGGCAGTGAGAAGAGGGAAAGGAAAGTAGGCTCTCCTTTTCTTGTCCTTGTCTGTAAAGTTAATGGGGCAACATATTTAACAGGGGAACTTGTGAAGATTGTTGCATGAAACCATTCATGCACAGCTTAACAGTGTACACGATGGACCGATCAACTAGGGTTTAAAATACAGGGAACTGATTGTCAGATACGTATATAACATGTTGATTTCTTTCCTGTTAGATAGTTCCATTTTAGGTACAAAAGGTTCCACATTTTGAATTATACTGAAGCAAAATCCAAAGCCGTGGTTCATCCCAGCTTTGTAAGGTCCTTCTCCTTCTTGGGATGTGGGACTTTCAAATTAACATTAACTCTTGATTGTGATGCAAACATGTCTTATGTATTATGCATTAATAAATGTTCAAAAGCACTCATATGAGAAAAAGATTTTTATATATCATGTTTCAATCAGAGGGTTAAATCCAATGTTAATCCCATCTGGAGCAGGCCCCACTGAAATGAACAGAACTTATTAATTACTGTTAATTAAAGCTGAAAAAATCGCATTGAATCTACATAGGAGACTATCATTGGCTTCAGCTCAATGACAGCAGAAAATGCTTGTACAATTTCTTAGAAATGCCTTTGTGATGTATTTTACATTTCTAGTTCATTTTAGCTGCAGTTCTCAGTAAATTCTATTACGTCAACCACTGCTTGTTTATTTGGTTTATATACACCTGTTACTTCTGTTAACTGTGAAACGCATAGTTAGAAGAAAAGAAAAGCAAAACCCAGGTTTAGATCCCTTCACCAAAAGAAAAAATTAAAAAGAGAGAATTGTACTTTGAGTTAAAGGCTAACAAACTTGAGATCTGGTGAGCAGTCAATGCTCTGTCAATAACAATATCAAGATCATGGCTATATTCTGTTTCAGACAAACATGACATTCCAGGCCCCATGTTAACGGATTGGCCAACTCAGTGGTAGCACGTGTATTAGCATCCCAAATGACAACATACAAACCCTATCACTTTTTCCAAAACTTTTAAATATTTTAAAACTTTAGGTTTGCATTATCTATTTTTAAAAATAAAGTAATATATACAGATTTATTTTCCCAAAAATTAACCTCCTTACCTTTTCAACTGGTGCATTTTCTTCACATGTTGTGACACTAGCTTTTCTTGATTCAGTTTTTGATTTACTCAGTCGCCGGGACACTTTTTCTCTAAGCAAAGTGGCATATCCTATGTGTTCATAGATAGGATTTGTTGTCATTTTCGAAATATATTCAGAAGCCTTGGTTTCTATGTACAGTGTTATCAAGCCATCCGTTACCAAATCATGGATTGATTCAAACCTCTTCTCCCCTACAAAGTGCTTCCCATCATAAAAAAGCCTGTAGTTTAATGTCTGATTGCCAAATCTGCATTAAAAAAGAAGAAAGTTGCTAGTTTAGTATATGAACAATTTTTTCCCCAAATTATGTGCTATATAGGAATGACACCTTCCTTATCAACTTTAAAGGCAATGAAAGCTATTACATAATAGAAACTGCATTCAGTCAAGGAAGGTTGGTGTTTGGAATGCAGGAACATGGCTTTCAAAAACACATGGCTCAGTTCAGAGGTAACATTCCCAATGACTTAATCACGATGATGCACTGAAAGATACAGTACCTTTTAAATAACTCCATCTTTAACTCATATTTGGAGTAAGAATTCCCCATCTTGACTCACTTATGGCATGGCTATGTTAAAAAAGTAACTATGATGTCTGAAAAAAAATGTTTTAAAAATAGCCTGTGGTATTGCAATATCTAACAGATGTCTGTTGCCTTCTATAATTTTAAAGACATATTGTTTTGTACATATTTATTACAGCAGCATTGCCAATGTGGATAAGCATAAGGTTTCTTTGGTACACAAACACTTATTAGAATATAAGTGGCAGAGCTTACCTGAGAGCTAGAGTATAGCAACCAGGTTGTCGCTGGCTCTCTCTGAGAATATAAGCTCCTTCTACACCAGCAAGCAATTCATCTGCTTGCTCACGAGAAATAATCCCATGAAACCTGGCAGAAAAGAAAGCCAAACATTTAGAGAAAAATCCTGTAAACCACAGGAACCCATTATTAAACAAAGAAGAAGGTTTGCAGACTGCAAGGAAAATACTGTATCACACACCTGAACCTGGGCGCAATTACAGATTGGCATCAAGAGATCCTGGTTGCTAAAGTAAGGCTAGCTAACCGTGGAATGAAAATATTTTTTTATCAGGATGGCAGCTGGTTGAGGAGAAAAGAGTAAAATTTCCCTTCCTTGCTCAGTGAAAATCACCATTGACATCTGATATAAATTTTAAAAACTTCTGACCCCTTTAGTTTTGTAATGGCCAGAATCCTATTGGTGTTTGTGAAGAAAATATTTTTTTTATCAGGACAGCAGCTGATTGAGGAGAAAAGAGTAAAATCTCCCTTCCTTGCTCAGTGAAAATCATCATTGACATCTGATATAAATTTTAAAGACTTCTGACCCCTTTAGTTTTGTAGTGGCCAGCATCCTATTCGTGTTTGTGTAAGACATATGTAACTTCCTATGGTTAACTGCAGATAATACCATGAGGGGCCAGGCTACATCTTGACTGTGCATTCAGGCATGTGACATGCCTTGGCACTTTGTCAATTAGCCACAATTAGCCACAGCATGATCACAGTAAGATTCTGCCCGATTTAGCATCATGTCCAATTATTAGCACAAATCTTGGAAGAATCAAGACATAAGAATCCTAAAGGTGGATACAGTACATCTAAAGTACTATCCAAAGCAGAAAGATAGTATACTTCAAAAGTTGACGATTGCAATCTCTGCAGCACCATGTTGCTTGACTATTCCATTAAACAAATCCCTCTAATATGGGCAGATAGCAGCCATTACAGCAAGAGAAAATGCACTGGTTTTTTTTTAACACCTGTGCAAGAGCTAACAAAAGACTTCACACTACATAGTGCCACAATGTAACAGCGGAGGCACAAGGAGATGACAGAAAGCCAGAGATTTACAACTGCTCTTATAAAATGAGCCCCAAAATGTTGTACTCTGAGTGATATCTGGAAAGGCAAAGTGTTATCAAGCTAAGAATACGGGCATTTGAGGAAAAACAATTATATATAAAATAAGAAAAAAAGTTTTGGAATCTCTTTGTTAACCATCAAGAATTACCAACTTTAAAGTTGCACATTAGCAAACAATGTATAATTTTACAAGTACTTCAATACATACTCTCTGCCATAGTATTTTGGTCTGTTCTCCACCTAGATGCAAATAAAAAGAAATAGTTTAGCAAATCAGCAGAAACAACATTAGAATGTAATGTTTGAAAATATAAAATCTTTAATATTTGCCCAAGATCAAACCCTCATGCGTGCTCTCTTGTACAGGAATACAGAGGCTTAGATGCCCTTCACAAAAATGAAGCTTGGGATGTATGAAACCTGTTATTGCACATTTTAAGTCACAACTACTTAAAAAGAAAGCAGAACAATTATAATCACATTACTTTATTGTGCAGACACTAGGGAGGCTTTTCCTGACTGGCTATCTAAGAAACATTTTAAAATGGGATGGTTTGAAAAGCGGTTTTTAAAAAATCTGATGTGATGTTTTGACCTAACACTTTAAATATAATATTTATTTAATTATTTTAAAATATTTGAACAATTTATTGTTTTTAGTTTTTAATGTTGTGTTTTAAATTATGTATGCCACCTTGGGTTCTTTTTTTAGGAGCGAGCGAGCGAGCAAGCAAGCAAGCAAGCAAGCAGGGAGACTCCTGCCAGGCACCTTTTCAGTCACAGCCAGCCATCTAAAATATGATGAAAATAATGCTTATAGCTGCTCTTGTACATACAGTAGGTGTGGTTTCCGGACCAAGCAAGGAGATGTGCCTTCACACTGGGCAATACTCTCATGCTAGGGTCACAAGCTGCCTGTGTTTACATTATGCTCACATGCCAAAGAAGTGTTCCGAGCACTCAAAAGCACTATGCACTATATATTTATTAATCACTGCCCAAGGCCCAATATAGTAATTCTGCACACTGGACTGTTTCCATCAGTGGAGTCAGGAAGGGGCAATCTTCTCTCCACAGCAATCCACCTGACACCTCAAAACCTGACCTGGAGGAGTAGCCAACTCTCTAGAGCCAGTTTTTAGATAGCATGGGGGCCAATGTGAAGAGCATTCTTTTATGCTGGTGATTGGGCATAGGGCATTATTATTTTTATAGGAGGGCATATTTTCCACCATGTGCAACAACAAAAACATACCCCAGTTGAGCAAGGGAATGCCTTTTAAGTCAAGTCATGGAGTTGCTACAGAATTATGGTTTTGCTTAATGAAAGCCACTTTGTGCTTTCTCAATATTCAGCTTTCTCTGCTGATTTTTATTTTGTTCAGTTTGTACTATGGTGTGTATTAAATTCAAGTAATGAAATAATCAAAATGTCAAGTCTGAGGAACACTTTAAGAATGCTAAAAGACTAAAAAAGATGTATCTATATACTAGCTTTTTAAGAGTGAGGGAGAGTTTATATGCTGGCATCTCAATCATAAACACATCTATTTATACTGGGATACTGTTAATTTTAATTTGTTTGAAAGTGTACCTGAGTATACTTCAGGTTATAACCTGTACGAGAAAACACTTTCTATTAATTTTGAAATAAGTGGTGATTGCAAAGCAACGGTATCTGGATGACTTTTCTCAGGAGAATTCATTGCAAATGCTGCACATAATCCTGAATTTAATTTGGTGTTTACAAGCAAATGAATATTAGGCCAGCAGGGGGCAGGTCCTTACAAATTTTGATGCACTATGTTTTTGGTTCATATTTAAAACAATATTTGAATATTAAGATGACCTTAGTGTAAAAAGTCATTTACACATGTACCCCTAACGAACAGTCTTTTATATACTGGTGTATCCTCACAGAAACTTATTGGGCCGATCTATAAAGGTAAGCTTTAATATCATTGTTATGTTACAATGAGTGTTTTAGTGCTTCAAAAATAAAGACATTTTAACAAAGAAAAATTACTTAAAATATTCTGTGTTGGTGCCATAATTTTTTTTAAAAGTACTTCACGGCTGAGCCTTTGAATTGGTAGTCTGTGACTGGCAGGTTTTATTGAAGGCATAGATACAATAAAGGTGAACTTCCCTCTATCTGGCCCATTGCAATGCTTATTTGGGATACTGTCATACTTGATACTTCTGCAGCTTTATCCAAATATGGCAAGATATTATCTGTGGCATGGCTTCCAACTTTGTAAAATGTCTTCTACTTATCTAACCTTGTTTTTCATCCTCATACGTTAAGACTATTATAGCTGGTCACAAACCTTGTTGATGCAAAAGGAAAGTACTGGCCAAAACTCTACTACCAACTTATGCTCGTGCAAGGGAAATTATGTAAGTCACTACAACAAATTGCTATTCATTAACAAGGTGCTGGTTCCATTTCTGAAGTACACCAAACTTTGCCCAGTTCACATTAACTTGTCAATTCAGAGTCATTTTTCAACTGTACCACAGTAGAGATGCTGCAGGTTCAATTCAGCAGTTATCTCTGCTAAACACATAGTGTAGACAAGCTCAAATGTTTCATGATTCTGATTAGTACAAATCCTGTTTCTGCAGGGACCAGCACAATGCTTCATTGACAACATCAAAAACTGAACAGCAGCAATTACCTTAAACAAAATTCCTCACAACGTATTCCTGCCTATCTTCTACGTAGCCCCTGATGTATTTCAGGCATAATACTGTATTACAGGAGAGATACTCAGACCTTCAGATGAATCATAGTGAGATATCTTTGCAGTAGTTGGTATCTGTTTACTACTATATACATATTTCTCAATTCCAATGCCACAGAACTTAGAATATCAACTCTAAAATGTCAGAAAAACTTCATGAAAGTGCTTGTCTCAAAAATAATATTTTATTAAGTTACAGGCATGGTCTAGTTCTCTGACTTCAAGATCGGGGTTGTTATAATATGACAGGTTTTGGATATATGACTAAATTTATACAGTATTAGAGAAAGCCATTCCTTATATTACATCCTAATTTATTTCATATCTGAGCAAATCCTTGCAGAAGTAAAAAACTATGAGATAATTTACAGCATAATTTTGGTCTGAGAGATGGAGAAATTTCTGGATAAATTTCTGTTTAAAAAATGGTACACACACTCCAGAGATTCACTCTTTATGCCCTTAGTAATAGCTATCATCATGTCCCATTGAGTCAATTCTGATTTATGGCATCCTTTTTTTAAGGGCTTCCAGGTAGAGAATACACTGAAATGGTTAACCATTCCCTTCTTTTGAGATGCCCTGGGACTGTGCAGGTTGCCCAAAGCCACACTGGTGGGCTCTACTTGTAGGAGTCACAGTAAGGAATTGAACTGTCCACCTCTGTCTCTATAGTCAGATAACTAAACCACTCAGCTATCCAACCAGCTTCATTATGTCCTTAGGCTACTAAGAAGAGAGAGACAGTTCCACTGAAACCGATGCATTTAGATAAAGATATCAGTTTTACTGACTCAACAAAATATATTAAAGCTTTCAATGACCTTGAATTGTAACTTTTTTTCCATTTGGAAATGTATTATAGTGATCTTCCATCAGGACAACGAAATCCTATTCTAAAAAGTTTTGCTTCTGAATGATAGCAGATCCCTAGAAATATATAGTGCCTAATTCATGTAAGATAAATATTGGCCCTAAGGATGGTTTGCCATCTCAAGCAAATGATCTGCATACAACTCGATATCCAAACTGATGTGAAACATCAGATATCACTCAAATGATTTCTTATGGTTTCAGAACTAAACTGGCCTTTTTAGTACAATATTTTTCCTTCTGTTAATGTCAGAAAGATAAATTTAGACAGTGAAAAGGATTTTAGTTTCCTAAAATTCCATAAGTATCAGTGACAATTATTATTTCTCAAGTCTGAAGATTAAGGTTCACTAAATTCTAGCATCCTTACAAGTCAGTTCATCCTCTCCAATTAAACATGATAGGCATGTTTCAATACCTGCAGCTTACCTCTGTTTCCAATCATTTTTTAACCCACCAGGATGTTGAATGCTCAGGATGCTTTTTTGCAAAAGGTCTGAAATCTTTTGCAACTAATCATTCAGACCCATTTGTTTTATGAAAGAGGTTTGTCTCTAAAGTTTCACATCCTTCTTACACATATGGACTCACTAAAATGCCACTGTATTTCACCATCCTCTTCTCATATACCTTAGCAATATCTGTACTGTATGATATTGTCTAATTCTTCCATTTCTGGGCCATTGCCATACACTGCAGCCTAACAGAACGCCTTTGTGCTCCTTTATTTCTCTATATATTACCTTTGATGTTTTTTGTTTAAGTTTCAGATGGACAGACTTTATAGGCTGGTGAGGTCCATGAAGTGGAACCAGATGCAAAACAGTCACTCAAGAAGGTAGACCTATAATAGTGTATGAGTCTTTTCTCAACACATACTCAACCCATGAACATATTTTTAGCAACAGAACTAGAATTCATGCATAAATTCTAGTCCATGTAAACTACTGTTTTCCCCAACCTTCTCTGATTTCAAGAGTTTTATCTAGGACAGATAAGTAGGTTTCTTATTGTTTTTATTGTTAAAACGTCAGAAAACAAGTAACCTTGTTACAATCATACCACCTTGAACATAATGTCTGATTTTTGAAGTGAAGTAGGCTCTAGGCTCAGTTAGTATAAGGATGAGAGGCCACCCTGGAATACCAAGGAGTTTGAGTTAGAGATAGGAATCATAGAATAATGAAGTTGGAAGGGGCCTATAAGGCAATTGACTCCAAACCCCCCTGCTCAATGCAAGAATACAAATCGAAGGATATCTGCCAGGTAGTTGTCTAAATTTCTCTTTTAAAAATGCTGCCTGAAATCTTTGAGAGCTACTGCTACTTAGAGCTAATTATACTATGCTAGACATACTAATCTCTGACTTTGCATAAGGCATGTTCCGATGTTCCTTGTTGCTATGCTCCAAAACACCAGGATATGCTGATTTATATCCTGCCTGTCCTTGGTGAGCATAGTAGCTGCTGTGTAATTAGGAAAAAGAGCAACTAACTGATTGCAAAGACAACACTATGTATCAATTTCTGCTTTGTCTGGTTTAATAGTGCCCAGAATGTAATAATGGCTTCTTGGGCTGCTGTGTGATTAGGAAAAAGAGTAACTAACTGTTTGCAAAGA